GCGGCCGCGCCCTGCGGGTGCTGGTGGACATGGACGGCGTGCTGGCCGACTTCGAGGGCGGCTTCCTCAGGAAGTTCCGCGCGCGCTTCCCCGACCAGCCATTCATCGCGCTGGAGGACCGGCGCGGCTTCTGGTTGTCCGAGCAGTACGGCCTCCTGCAGCCCGGCCTGAGCGTGAGCATCCCCCGCCCCGGGGCCCCGTTCCCGCTCCGGGGCCCCGAGCCCACCGGAGCCTGGCGGGACTGCGGCCCTCCTTCCCAGCCCCGGGCCGGGAGCCCGCGTGACCTTGGGTGGGGGTCACCTCCCCGAGCCTCGGGGTGGTCCTCTCGTAAAACGGGGGGGGGGCGGATGCTGGGGAGGACCGGGGGCGCCGCGCCCCGCGCAGCCCGGCGCGAAGGAACTGTTGGCTGTCATCGAGGCTTCTCAAAAGTCAGGAGAGTATGAAGCGTAAAATACGAACTCTATCTTTAGCTGACTTTTTAATTTTTGGTGCATTTGGCCGTAAGTCTTGAAATTTTTTAAAATGAAATAAACGTTACAAGTAAAGTCCTCTTTGACCCCTGCCACAGTCACATGCCCATTTCTTCATCCTCACGAATTTGATGAGTGTCTTTACCGTTCTTTTTTGTCCTTTCCCATGAATGCATAGCTCCCAGTATTTGAGGCCCAGAGAAGTTGAGTGACTTTCCGGACATCACAAAATGAGTCAGTGGTCAAGATGGGGTGGGTTCAACTCCTTGGTTTATCCCCTTGCTTTGGTGGCCCTGCTGAACCTGAGCCCACCGCATCCCCCTGACTCCCGCTGTACTTTGCTGTCTGCGTCCAGGATGGATGGAGGGGAAATATCCAGGCATGTTTATAGACAGATGGCTTAGTTTGTGAGTTTAAACTATTTCGGGAAAGGAACGGGATTTTGCCTTGCACAAACTTAAAGAGGTTGATGTTTTCTGGCATCTCTTGATTGGCCACCCAAGGTCACCACCAGAAGTGTGATGATGATGATATTCGAGGCTATTTTGTATCCACAGGTTGACTGCATTGTCTCCCATGTGAGGTAGACATTATTATCTTCATGATGCAGATGAGGAAACTTGTCCCAAGTCCTATAGCTAGTAAGGGGCTCAACTAGGATTCCAACCCAAGTCTGTCTGCCTTCCCAAGCACATTTAGCTTTCCCCACCCCCAAATCCTCTTCTCTGTCCTGCTCTAACAAGTGACATTTCTTTTGACTTAAAAAAGTAACTTGACAATAATTGGTTTGTTGAGAGGCAGGTGTTAGAAAGAAAACCAAGCACCACGGCTCTTTGTCAACACCGTGCACTTCAGAAGGTGACTTTCCCAGAGTTCTGTGTGTTCACTTCTCCGAGCTCTAATACCTGATTACCAACTTCAGGCTGGAGAGAATATCCTAGTAATTTTTGCAGTCTTAGTAACAGACTCCCCTGCTCTATGTGGCTGTTCATTTATAGACAGTGCACAGTATTGGCAGTCTGGGCACCTTATTTCCTCCCAGGAGTGTATTGGGGTGAGGAAATAAAGCCCACCCCCAACTCTGAAAAGGACAGTGGCTTTTGAACTCCTTTGTACAGATGTGCAGACTCCACATCTAAAGAAATCATTTTACCATTTTCTAAGGACTAGGCAAAGAAATGGAGCTCTTGGGACGCTAAGGATGCAGTGTTCTGGGAGTGACCTGCTGAGTTCTGCTTCTGGGAGCATTGCAGGAAACAGGATTTTAATAGATGAACACATGCCCTGTGTCCCCAGCATAGCCCACAGCAGGACATCCCTGGGTCTCCCCTTGGCTGAGGTGGCCCGGCACCTACAGGTAAAAACAACCAATGAACCAACCCACCTTGATTATGTAAGCATTTCTGCTTTACAAAATATCACTCTCTTGGTAACCCCTTTGATCTTCACAGGGCTTGCAGAAGTAATCAGGGCAGAGGTGGAAGGCAAAGCTCATTTTAACTGACTTAGAATCCTACACTGTTAGGACGGTTGAAGAACTCAGCCCAGAGAGGGGAAGTGCCTTGACCAGGGTTTCAGAGCCAAGTTAGTGATGGAAGGAGGGTAGGGATGCCGGGATGCTGATTATTGAGGCAAGGTGGTGAGGCCAAGATCACACAGCCAGGGCCAGGACCCCTTACTCGTCCGTCAAGTACATTTTCCCCCCGTCCCCACTGCCTCTGGGTGAGTCGGAAGCCCTGAGTCAAGTTCTGACAGTATCACCCATAAGTGGCCTTGAAAACAGTCCTCTGTAAGCCTCTTTCCTTATCAGTAAACTGGGGATAGCGATTCTTGCCCCTTGTGGGGGTGAGGGTGAAACAAGAGAGACCATATATTAGCTATCAGTACTCATTTGCTTCAGCCCACATAGTTCACAAGAATAATGCCAGTGTAATCTCGGGGTGCTCCACCTCTAAGTGGGACATGGTGGTGGTGCTTGTTCTAGAGTGTGCGGGTTCTGACCTGGGAGAGACACCTCCTGCTGCAGACGTGGGATTCAGGTTCCTGTTCCTCGGAGGCCAGGGTCTGTCCCCCCTCCCCTTGTCCTGGGCCTGAAAGAGTGTGGCATTCTGCAAACTGATTTTAGGCCAGTGACAAAAGGTAGAACCTTGTAGCCTCGGAGTCAGGAGATGGTGTTCAGCTCTCAGTAATGCCACTCTTTTGCTGTGTGGCATTGAGTAAATCCCTTCCCCATTCAGAGCCTTGATTTTCTCATATGAACAATGAGGGTCTGGATTTTTGGTTTTCAGACTTTAAAAGCTGCAGAATACTTTTTAAACAAAGTACTTAATGACATACCAATGCATAAGACAGATACCAGAGCTGTTCCAGTTGATACGGGTGAGGAACCTGGAGTTCTGCTCATTTGGCCTTCCACCCGCCCTCCCTGGCCCCCCTTACCCCACATGGCACAGCAGTGCTCTTAAGAATCTCTGAGTTCCTCCAGCTCTTGAATTTAAGGACTCTAGTGCCATGGCAAGACCAGGTCCATCCCCAGAGCCTCTGAGATGCCTCCGGCCATTAGAATCAAGCAAGCGCGTGATTCATGATGACTTGCCTTTGGTCCCAGACGGCTCTAGCCATGCCTCAAGGAGAGCAGGCTTCGGGATCCATAGCTCCTGACCCCTTAGCTGGTCTCTACTGGATCTTTGCAGACGTCAGAGCTCCTGGAGAGGGGCTGGAACACACACATGCTCCATGTGATTCCCCGGTCCCCCTAGGATATGACCTTGGGTATGTGTGTGTGTATTGGGGGAGGAACGTGGAAGGCTCACACTCTTCTTGTCAACAGCTCTTCCCAGCTGTGCCATCGTCCCTGTGATGAGGCAATGTGCTGAGTCCCCTGAAGTCACCCACTTCTCTCTTGTCTTCTTAGGAGAAGGCCATTAGCATATGGGAATCAGAAAATTTCTTTCTTGACCTGGAGCCTCTGCCGGGGGCTGTGGAAGCTGTGAAGCAGATGGCCAACCTAGAAAAGTAAGTTTGTCTTCCCGCCTGAGCATCTGTGCCTTCCCCCTGCCAGTGCCTCCCCTACTCTTCCCCGCCCTCTGCCTCTCCTCACCCCTGCATAGGCCCATGCTTGTTTCTTTGGTACTCAACCTGGTGACACCCTGAGTGAAACAGTCTCAGCTTGTAAACCAGTGTGGTGCTTTGATCTGGTAACAGGAGAAAATATTGAGTCTAATTGGACCTGGTTGACTGGGTGCTGGATGTGCATTTAATCAGCAAATAGCTGAGAACCGACCGTTAGATGCTGCTGGACAACAGTGATACAGAGATGAACAAACACGGTCCTGCCCTCATGGAGCTCACAGAGTAGACATTAAACAAAGAATCTCACAAGCAGAGATAATCACAGATTGTGGTAAGCGCTGGAAAGGAACCGAGGAAGGAGTACGAAGAGGTCTAAAGGAGACCTAACAAGAAAACTCGGTGTGGAAGCAGTGTGAGCTATTTCTCTTTTGTTCTAGTGAAGTGGCTGCTTCTGGGAGCTGAAGCCCCAGTTCCATAACCATTCACTAAAATCCATTAGCAGTTACAGATGACGTGCTTCCCTGAGGACTTAAAAAACAACAACAGCCGCATTGAGATATGATTCACATACCCTACACCCATTTGAAGTGTAAAATTCAGTGGTTTTTAGTATGTCGGCAGCAGAGTTGTGCATTCATGACCGTAGTCAATTTCCGAAGACTTTCATCAGCCCCCAAAGAAACCCTATACCCCTTACCAGTCACTGCCCCTTCTCTCTCCTTCCCCTGCAGCCTTAGGCAGCCACTGTCTACTTTAGGGCTCTGTAGATTTGCCTGTGCTGGACATTTCATGTATATCTCATGTGCATTTCACACAGTACACTATGTGGTCTTTTGTGATTGGCTTCTTTTATGCAACATTGTGTTTTCAGGGTCATCTCCTTTGTAGCACAAGTCAGTACTTCATTCCCTTTCATTGCTGAGTAATATTCCTCTGTATGGATATGACACATTTTGTTTATCTGTTCATCAGTTGGTAGACACTTGGATTGTTTCTGCTTTTTAAGAGTAATACTGCTGTGAACACTCATGTAGGAGTTTTTTTTGTGGTTGTATGTTTTCATATAGGTTGTCTATACCTAGGAGCAGAATCACTGGGTCGTGTGGTAAATCCATGTTTAACATTTTGGGGACTGCCAAGCTGTTTTCCAAAGCGACAGTACCATCTGACATTCTCATTAGCAATGTATGAGGGTTCCAACTTCCCACCCTTGCCAACACTTGTGGTCTTTTTTATTCTAGCCATCCTAGTGGGTGTGAAGGGGTAGCTCATCATGGTTTTGATTTGCATTTCTCTGATGGCTAATGATTTGAGCATCTTCTTGTGTGTTTTTAGCCATTTTTTAATGTTTTTTGGAGAATTATCTTTTTTTGCTAATTTTTTTCAATTGGGTTATTTATCTTTTTATTGCTGTTTTTAAGAGTTCTTTATTCATTTTATTTTTTAAAAAAGATTTTGTTTATTTGAGAGAGAGAGAGAGAGAGAGAGAGAGAATGAGTGGGGGAGGGGCAGAGGGAGAAGCTGACTCTCTGCGGAGCAGGGAGCCTGTTGAGGGACTGGATCCCAGGACCCTGAGATAATGACCTGAGCTGAAGGCAGGTACTTAACCAAATGAGCCCCCCAGGCACACAAAGAGTTCTTTACGTATTTTAGATGATAAGTCCCTTATCAGATATATGATTTGCAAATATATTCTCTCATTCTGTGGATTGTTGTTTTAGTCTCTTCATGGTATCCTTTGAAACCCAAAATTTTTATGTGGATATAGTTCAATTTATCTGTTTTTTTCTTTTCTTTTTTTTTTTTAAGATTTTATTTATTTATTTGAGAGAGAGCATGAGCAGAGGCAGAGGGAGAGGGAGAGGGAGAAGCAGACTCCCCACTGAGCAGGGAGCCCGACACGGGGCTCCATCCCAGGACCCCGGGATCATGACCTGAGCCGAAAGCAGACCCTTAACTCACTGAGCCACCCAGGCACCCCTGTTTTTTTTTCCTTTTGTCATTTGTGTTTTTGGTGTGTATCTAAGGGTTGTTTGCCTAATCCAAGGTCACAAAGACTTGCTCCTATGTTTTCTTCTACGAGTTTTATAGTTTTTGCCCTTACATTTAGGTCCTTGATCCATTTTGAGTTAATTTTTGAATATGGTGTGAGGAAGGTGTCCCACCTCATTCTTTTGCATGCAGAAATCCACTTCTCAGTACCATTTGTTGAAAAGACTCCCTCCCCCCTGCCCATTGAATTGTCTTGCCTTTCTTGGCAAACATCAACTGACCATCAATATTAGGATATATTTCTAGGCCTGTATATACTTTTATTGGTCACAGTTTTGATTGAATTTACCAACCTGAGAGACCAATCAAACATAAGGTCCAATTCGGTCTTTATTGTGCCATATAAAGGCCTCCAAAAATCATCAGCGTTCAAAGTTCTGACTTGGTAAATGGGCATCAGAGGAACACAAAATGCTTAGAGTTCGAGTTGAATCATAGACTCGTTTGGTAATTTATTTTTAGACTTGACTCAGGTTTTGCAGAGTAGTATATTTCATTCTGGTTTATGATTTGAACTTGATTGATAGTGGAGTACTGTTGTATAACTTCTTGCATCTGCAGGAAGAGCCTAGAGAGGCAAAGCATATGTGTATTTGCATTGCAGCTTTTCAGAGCTCTATTTGTGTCTGGATCAGCATTTCCTGGACCACATTCAGCCAACTGTATCCTGGGGTGCTAGATGGCATAGTGGCTAAGGTTATGTCCTAACTGGAATGAGACTGCCCAGGCTCAAGCCCGGGCTTTTCCAGAATCTAATCCTCAAACATTGGGCAAGTTATTAAGCTTTCTGGGTCTCAGTTTCTTCAACTGTAAAATGAGGGGAATGAGAGAAGCCTCACTATAGCGCCTGGCAAATAGTAGGTGCTCAGTAACCGTTAGCCGCAGTTGTTATTATTCTGCAAGATTTAATAGGTATGCAACAAAAAAAGCGTTCTTTAACCAAAACAGTGTGGGGGACATTGGATTAAGGAGGTTTCTTTACCATAAGACTTCGAAGGGCTTCAGGTTTGCTAATATGCATCGTGCCTCTTCACTGGGGTAGCAGAGGATGCAGCTTTTCTTCATATGTATTCTAGTCGGGAGCACTCTTTCCCACAGCTTCCCTGTGAACACTTCTGTGAAAATGCAAGTCTAGACCATACCACAGGTCTGTCACCTCCATTTTGGCTCTTAACGGGGTAGATTCCCAAGGTCAGTCAATGCCCAAAGTGTGGACAGAGACGGGGTCTAGTCCGTAGCGAAGTGGCTAGCTTTGTGTGTGGTGCTGAAGTAGACAGCGGCCAAGATTTAAAATGTTACTGAAGGAATATTTGTCAGGCACCTGCTATGGGCGAGGCCCTGATACCAGATGCTGCAGATACAGAAGCAGATAAAAGACGGTTCTGGCCTTGGAGAAGTTCACCAGGAGACAAATGACTAGAACAGAGTTCTGAAAGTGATGTGGTAGATGTATGGATAGAGACGGGCAGGGCTACTCCCCAGGGCAGGCAGCGACACAGGAGCTGTTATGCTGAGACGTGAAAAGGAATCTGCCGGGCGGAGAAGGCAAAGGGGTTTCCGGTAGGAGGGGAAGAGTGAGCAAACCCCTTATCTGCCCGCTGTCCTAAAACCGCCTCCCTGGCAGGCTGTGTCCTGGCTCCGGGAGCACTGGGCAGGCGGCTGTACCGTCCTGGGCCTCACATCACGGCCCAAAGAGCCTCCTTGGAATATCTTCAGGGGCGACTGCCCTTTATTCAGTAATACCTGAGTATATTCTTACAAAACACTCAAACAGTGGGAACACACGTGAAAAAAATGTGACTTGCCCATTTTGTCCCTCTCTCCCCGTGTACATCTCCCTCAATCCCACTCTTCCTGTCCTAGTGAACAATTTGGGGTGTGCACCTCCAGACCTTCTCAAATGCACTTGCATACATGTTTGTCTATAGGTTTGCAACGTATCTGTTCTACCCGGCAGCCAGAGCGGTATCTCTAAACCAAATTCTGCTGATGTGGGTCCCCTCTTAAAACTCTCTCTTGGCGGGCGCCTGGCTGGCTCAGTTGGTTAAGCGACTGCCTTCGGCTCAGGTCATGATCCTG